AATAGGATGCCTTTTGGTAAACTTTGGCAAGCTACGCTGTTGTTTATTTTTGCATAGTCTGTCGAGAACAAAACAACCCGGTTATCTACACAGAAAATTGCAAACTTCACAAAGCAATCGGTCCATTAAATATATTTTGCCAAGACATCGCACGTCAAAGTACGGGAACTCATTTTTCGTGCGAGGTGTAGTTCACTGGAATTCTTAACCCAATAGTCTAACTAATGTAAATTCGTTAACAGCATTTAAGAGAAGATGTATTGAGCATTTTAGTTGAGTAGTAAATGTAGTTCAGTTTGTGTTACGTATCATTTTTGTTTTGTTTTGTAATATACTTGTGGCGCTTGTTATACTTTGCTATAATCGATGTAACAGAAGAAAGACATAAGTCTTAAGTTACAAAATATAAGTCAATAAATAAATAAATAAAAATAAATTCATTGCCCGAATGAAGACATCATGTAAATTTTAGACACTGGATCGTTTTTTAGCATGGTGAGTTCGGTATTTTTTCAGCAGTTATGCTGACTTTCTTTTGCTTCTTCTGCTCCAGCATGAGCGAGTACTTTATATACGGTTGCAGGAATTTTATACCAATCATATAAAGAAAGATAAAGTCGGTATGTGTCTTTGCAATAGGCATCAATTTTTCCTGGATTAATTGGCTCCTGAATGGTGATAGTAATTAAAATTTTTCGAAACATCGCAATTAATTCTTCGTCGATATTTAAAACGCTGCTTAAAAGATGAGGATTTGCGAATCCTCGTCGAAAAACGTTACCTGTACCTGCTCCTCCCGATCTTGGTTGATCAACTCTAACTTCAAATTTTTCATAAAGCTGCGCCGTTACTTGTTTTTTCCTGTGCAAATACTGTTATTAACATGGCTGTAAAATTTTCCATAGCTTTATATCCATACGATACGAAATATGCAGCAGAAATTCAAAGAAGCGAATCCATGCATGAAGTGGAGATATACCATAGACTACGTACCGTTCTACGTTGGATAGAAATCCTTATTCTGATTTGTCTTTGTTGTTCATTACGTTTGGAGTTGCCCCACAAATAGGACAGTTCTGCATTGATGAACTGTAACAAATATATGTTAACACCTTACCGTCAATCAATCTAATAAATTTAAATTACATTTCATTTTAACTAGGTATTCCAGCTATTTACAGTAGCTTATCAGCCTTAATTGTTATGATATATGTATATCTAAGTGTTTTGACATTGTTCCTGCCTTGGAAATTCAGTATTTTAAACAGGATGTCTATACCTGCTGTCAGCATAACAATTTTCATGTTTAAACTTATAACTAAAACTAAATATTATCTTATAATAAAGGGAATTATTCGTTGCACCCTCCCCTTGGCTAGTTTTTAACCTGGACTTTGGTGGGCGGGCCTAATCTTATGCTTCATAGTGGAGCGTTGGAAACGGTTGGTTTAGGTCCGGCATCGTTGGCTCATGGCGTCATGAGCATGCGATGAGGATTACTGAGCTTCCCCTCTCTGATGAACCATTGCATAAGAGAACCAAAGTTCTAGCCTGAAGTGGTAGTATCACACTTGTTACTCCTTTATTTGAAAGCCGCGTTGTAGTACGCTTACGTATAGGCACTGACGATGCCGCAAATCACTCTTATTTTATTTATTTTTTACGCGGCTAGATTTATTTGGGTTCGCAAGGGAATTATACTATTGAAATATTTCAGAAAGTGCCCAACGGTGCTTCTTCTATTTGCGTGACAAGCTTTCATTGTTGTTTTTATTGAAGTATTACTCAGGAAACAATGTTAAACATCATTTTTGTACATGGTATTGTAAATAATCTTATATGTGCTTCATTTTGATTTGGGCTAAATGTTTGAACTATGGCTCGGGATTTCCACTGTGGCGTGCTTCTGTTGTGACATATCCATACGTAATTTTGTGGGACGACATAGTGGAAACGTGTGAGTGTAGTTGGAGCATATACCTTATATAATTTAAAAATCAGCTAGGAAACTAATTTCAAAGTGAAGCATTTTAGTCACTTGAAGGTCACCTGGGTTGATCTAAGATATAATAAATATAGATCAAAGTCAAAATTACTTGAAACACGTTAAATTTTAGATTACATAGCAGTTTAGGTACTTCATAAAGCAGGAGTTATGATTGATTAGGTAAATTAGAGATTTCAATTATTTATTGAAAATTAGACTAATGAGATATCATAATCATCAAACGAAATTAAATAAGAAAATTTAGACAGCCTAATAACATTAAGTAGATTAACAAAAGAGTTAGGATGCGGGGGTCCGCATAGGGAAGCAACTAGCCTATTCATATATTGTCTGTTTATTTTGATGGTTGCTTTAAAATATCAATTTGGTATATATGTGAAAGGATGAATCAGTGGGAGATGGATTTTCGGTTTCTTTACATTTTGCAACACAAATCTAGTACTATGTGTCATTTCCTCAAAACCCCCCAATAACCGACCTCTTCAATCCCTTCCTTTTCCCATGGCGTTCAAGTGGTCCGCATAGACTATTCAGCCATTACCCTTCCTTTATCCTCGGCTTTGGATTGACTTGCGCTCCCATTGCCCCACCAAACGCTGCAAAATGAAAATGAAAATGAAAATGAAATAAAGGGAATTATTCGTTGCAACGTTTTTTTATAAATTATTATTTATTTTGTTGGAAATTTGTTCTAAGGCCTCAATATTCGAAATTCTTGGTACCTCGGTTGTACTGTACAGGGAGGCAACTTCAAAACTTTGTTCTGAATCCTTAAAAGTGCTTTTTTTCCTGGTAGTGAAACAACTAGACCATATTGTTACAGCATAAAGCATGGTCCGATCTAAAAACTTGTTTAAATATTAGAAGTTTTCAGAGTTGGTTGGAAATGCAATCCAACATGAAGCTTTTAGTGTGATAATTTATAAGCTAGATAATGGTCTTTAGGAGAGTGTAGGTAGATAGTTCCGTTAGAGTACGGTACTATGAAAATTGAAAAGAAGTTGAAAATGAGAGAAGGGCCATTAATGCGACAGTACAAAGTCAAACGCACACCTTTTGCCTAGCCCGTACGATGTACGCGGAGATTTGAAGTATGTCTTCAAATCTACAGGCAAAAAGTGTGCGCCCGCCTTTGCTCATTACTGTCTGCGACTGTGGAATAGTTCTAAAGACATTTCATCACCACCTAATTAGAAGTTTATTCTTCAGGAATAGTTTGGATTTCCTGTTTATAACGTGGTTTTGATCAAAGCATTGAAAATTGGATCAATGAGATGTTATCAAAGAAAGAAATATCAGCAAACCTTGGAAGCTCACTCATCAGTGTAAGAGCAACCAAACGATGCCCGAATTTTATCACCTCTATTGTGGTCTTAATAGTTGATGATCTTCTCAAAAATTTAATAGCCCAAGGCTTTGAAAAGTAATTGGCATCGCACATAATTTTACGTGGCATACATGATTGTATTATCGCTAACAGAATGCAAAATGCCTTAAATTTTGTCTCATCGTGGTGTGATAAATCCTTCTAACACTACTATTGAGCCAATTACGCGAAGGAACAAATTTTCATTAGACAACATAAGACTGAAAGGCACACTTTTGAAACTTTCTAATGCTGTCAAATTTCTTGGAGTAGTCCTTGATAGTAAGCTTAATTGGAACATGCATCTAGATCAGGCAATAAACAAAGCTACTAATGCTCTATGGATATGCTAAAGAACATTTGGTAAACAGTGGGGACTGAAACCGAAAATGATCCATTGGATTTACTCGGCAATTTTGAAACCCAGGGTTACTTTTGGTGCATTGGTCTGATGGCCAAAAACAAAAGAGAGTGTTGCTCAGAGAAAGTTAGAAAAACTTTAAAGCAACTCTCTCAATAACAGGTGCAATGAGAAGTACACCAACGAAGGCATTGGATGCTTTGCTTTATATTTTTTTTTTCCCTTTATTATAGAGATTTTTAGCCATAGGCTAGTTCATCTCTTAATTTGCTTTATATGCTACCATTGCATTCTACAATTAGAAGCCAAAAAGTGTGCTCTAAGAGGAGACCTTAGAGGACATCTTAAGATTCTAAAAACTGTTAGTATCAACTCTCTAGTAAGGAACAACGAAGACTGGATGGAGAAAAGATACAATTTCAATCGACTTTTTCAGGTATTTAACCCTTTTCATGGGGTCCGGTTCTTCGTTCAGCATCGATTGTTTTTTATACAGATGGTTCAATATTGAACAATCAAGTGGGAGCAGGAGTCACTGGCGCAGGGATAGACATTTCGGTTCCTATGGGTAGATAGTGTTCCAAGATGAAATCCAAGCAATTTTAGAGTTTTCTATTATATGTTTGCGTAGACACTATAAGAATTCAAATATATACATCATGTCCGACACTCAAGCTGCTCTAAATGCTTTAAATTTGGCATGTACATCAAAACTTGTCTGGAAGTGTGTTCAATCACTTCAAAAACTTAATCAAGTCAACTTATATTGGGTTTCTAGTCATTGCGGGATTGACGGAAATGAAAGAACTGATGCACTAGCAAGACTCGGATCTTCTCGTAAGTTCATAGAACCAGATCCCTTGTGTGGCTTATCGGCTGCAGATCTCTTAGAATGGAGCTAAAAGCGTGGGAATCATCATTTCTGGATCAGAAATTTAGCTGCCCAACATAGGTAGATAGAATTTTGATGCACCGGAAACTAGCAGCTGACCATAGATTGCTTTTACCCGCAACAAAAATTTCTCTTACATCCAATGAAAGGTTGGATTTATTACATCCTCTGCATATGCTCCATACAACCAATTTAATGGCAGTTCTTGCAATGAAGTGCAGCGTCAGCGCCAAGTAAGTCTTTCCAGAATGCATATTTTTATATAAAACCTTCACGACATGATTTATTAGGCGCAATGCATTTGTGAAAACAAAATTTGCTCGAAAATTGAAATTATGCATACTTTTCAGGCAAATCTGTAATAGAATCTTACTTTTTACGGTTGGCTGTTCCTGTTCAAGATGCCATAACGCCAAATATGGCATACCTGAAACGAGAAAAAATATTTCAATTAGAATGTTTTTATTACAGTCTGATAAAACATTACAACTACTAAAGAGACCATTTCGACTCAACATTAATACACTCAATTCTGTCGCGATATTGTTTTTTTTTGATTTTAACTTCATGCAGATTAGGTACAGAATTTTTAATATCGCGCTTAATATTTATAGAGCGCTACTTCGTCGTAATCGCCCATTTTCGTTCTATCATTCAGAAAAGATCAATAATATCAATGATTTCACCGTGCACAAATCAATAATAGGTTTGTTCCGATGCACGGGATCCGCGTCCAGCACTTTCACGAAATTTGCAATTTCGTCTCGCCGAGCCATGTGCGAAGCCGAAACTAATCGTCTGCTTAGTTTCAACGGACATCTCCAGTTGTTTGCTTCCAACGGGGCAACGACAAAAGCGAACGAACTTCAAGTAATGAGCAAGCACCACAACAATGAACACACAGCTGCTTGTGTAGACAGCAAAGAGCGAACTGGCTGAAAATCTTTAAAATGTTGATTCACAGACTAACAGACATAACACATTGAATATTTCTCACTGTAAAACATCGTCGCTAAAACATTACCGCCATCTGTTGAGTATACTGTGGTGGGTAGTACGCTGAACAAGTGGCGGTAGTGTGTAAACGTCAAACGTGAGGGAATTGACTATGAGCGCCACAGGTGGCGGTACTACCAACTACGATACTTTTAAATTGACCGTTAAATGCTTGTTCGATGAACAACTTGTGAGTGTTATGTCTGTTTGTCTGTGGTTGATTGATCAATCAATCAAACAGAAGATCTGAGAAGAACTGCAAATAAATATGGTTTATAAGTCTATGGGAATCTAATTCGTAAAATAGCTCAAACAATTCTCAGCTGAGTGTCAAGTTAGTTTGAAAGATAGTTCCAAGAGAATTGCTAATAAAATTCATGATAACTTTGAGCAAATTGTTAAGAGTTTCAATGAGGTTTTGGTAGGAAATCTTGAGCATATTTCCAAAGAAACTATGAGTAGTGTTCCAAGATATCCTGAATAAATTTCCAAGGTAACACTAAAAAGAGTTCGAAGAGGATCTCCAGTTAAATCCAGAGATCCTCTTAAGAAATTTTTGAGTGGAATTTTGTCGAAATTCTGAAGAAAATTCCCATATAATTCTACGGTGCCAAGAAAATTTTCTTAATTCTAAATGGTGTATCTAAGCAAAGGAATATTCCACGCAAATTTTTGGAGATATTAAACAAATTCTCGCTAGCATTTTTAAGAATGCGAAGATGAATTAAGAGTGAATTTAAAGAGTTTTGTGGAAGGAATTCCTTAAATGTGCTGCACAGAATTCCACGACTGTTTTTGAGAAAAAATATCTAGAAAATACCAGGCAGATTCATCAGATCGTTGAAGGGAAACTAAAAGTAATTCTGAAGACTTTGTAGACAAATTTCTCAAGTACTCATCCTAAGATGTTGTAAATTGAAACGTTGAAAAATTTTCAAGACTCCGTGCACAGAAATTCAAGATCCAGGATTAACAAAAAAAAAATATTAAGATTCTGAGATTTGGATAGAGAACAAATTTCAAGATCCAGGTCGTTGAAAACTGTTCGAGATTATTAGGTTTAGAAATTTCAGAAAAGTGTAACAGTAAGGTATGTGAGATCTCAATCTACGAAAAATCCTCAATGGACGAGCATTTAATATCCTAGAAATGATGAAATCAGTCAGTCTTAGAATACTTATTACGGAATTTAAATTAAATTTGGACGGAATTGAGTCAAAATTAAGATGGAATTGAGACGGAATGTGGCCTTAATTGAATCGGGATTGAGACGGAATTGAGATGAAATTTAGACGGAATTGGGACGGAATTGTGAATTGAGATGAAATTGAAACCGTATTCAGACGGTATTTAGACGGAACTGAGGTGAAATTGACAGAATTTATATGGAATCGAGACGGAAAAAAAGACGAAATCGAGACGGAATTGGGCCGGAATTTAGACGAAATTGAGACGAAATTAATTAGTCGGAATTTTGACTGAATTTAGACAAATTTAATACGGAGTTCAAACGGTTTTAAGACAAAATTTAGATTGCATCTAAACCAAATTCATACCAAATTGAGACCGAATTGAGACGGAATTTGCATTAAATTGAGACAGAATTGAGACCAAATTTAGATGGAATTTAGACGGAATTGGACGAAATTGAAACGAAAGTGAGACAGGATGGAAATGAAATTCAGACGGAATCTGGACGGAAAGTAAACGGAATTTAGATGAAATTGAGATGAAATTTAGACGATGTTTAGATGGAATTTTTACGGAATTTATAAGAAATTGAGGTGGAATTTAGACGAAATTTAGATGGAACTTAGACGAAATTGGACGGAATGGAGTTGAAATTTGGACGGAATTAAGATGAAATTGAGATGGAATATGGTCAAAATTGAGAAGAAAATCAGACGGAATTGAAATTGAACTCAGACGTAATTTAGACGGAATTGTGATAGATTGGATTTGGAGTTGGGATGAAATTGAGACCGATTTTAGAAGAAATTTAGAAGAAATATGGTCGATATTGAGATGGAATTTAGACAGAATTTATACGAAAGTGAGACGAAATTGAGGCGGAATTTGGTCGAAATTTAGATGAATTTGAGGCGAAACTTAAACGGAATGTGGTCAAAATTGACACGTAATTAAGGCGGAATTGAGACGAAATTGAGGCGGCATTTGGTGTACAATCAGATGAGTTTGACACGAAACTTAGACGGAATTTGATCAAAATTGATACGGAATTACGACGGAATTGAAACAAAATTTAAACGCAATTTTGACAGAATTCATACAAAATTAAGACGGAATTTATAAAAAATTTAGAAGGAATTTAGAAGAAATTGAGGCGGAATTTGGTCGAAATTTAGATGAATTTGAGACGAAACTTAGACGGAATTTGGTCGAAATTGACACGGAATCAAGGCAGAATTGAGGCGAAATTTAGATGGAATTAAAACAAAATTGAGACGGAATTGAGATGGTTTTGAGACAGAATTAAGACGGAATATAGGCGAAATTGAGACTGAATTGAAACGGATTGAGACGAAATTTAGATGGAATTCAGACGGCATTTAGATGGAATTAGGACGCAATTGAGACGGAATTGAGATGGAATTGAGACGAAGTTTTGATGGAATTAAGACGAAATTGAGATGGAATTTAGACGAAATTTAAACTGAATTGAAACGGAATTGAGACGAAATTTAGATGGAATTAAAACGAAATTGAGACGGAATTGAGATGGTTTTGAGGCAGAATTAAGACGGAATACAGGCGAAATTGAGACTGAATTGAAACGGAATTGAGACGAAATTAAGATGGAATTCAGACGGAAATTAAGATGGAATGGGGACGGAATGGAGACGGCATTTAGATGGAATTAGGACGCAATTGAGACGGAATTTAGACTAAATCTAGACGAAGTAAAGATGAAATTGAGGTGGAATTTAGACGGAATTGAGACGAAGTTTAAATGGTTTTTAAACGAAATTGAGACGGAATTGAGATGGTATTGAGGCGGAATTAAGACAAAATTGAGACTGATTTGAAACTAAATTGAGGCAAAATCCATGTAGAATTTAGACGGAATTGAGACTACATTTAGACGAAATTTTGATGGATTTTAGACGAAATTGAGATGGAATTTAGGTGGAATTTAGACGGAATTGAGATGGCATTGATACGGAATTAAGACGAAATTGAGACTGTATTGAAACAGAATTGAGACGAAATTTATATGGAATTCAGACGATATTGAGATAGAATTGGGATGGAATTTAGATGGAATTAAGACGCAATTAAGACGAAATTGAGACTAAATTTAGACCAAATTTGGATGGAATTTAGACTAAATTGACGGAATTAAGACGAAATTTAGACTGCATTGAAACGGAATTGAGACGAAGTTTAGATGGATTTCAGACGGAATTGAGATGGAATTGAGACGGAGCTTATACAGAATTTAGGCAGAATTTAGGAACGGAACTATCCACCTACTCTCTTCTAAAGATCATTCTCTAGCTAATAAATTATCACACTAAAGCTTCATGTTAGCATTTCCAACCAACTCTGAAAATCGCTAACTTCACGTATGACGTAACATAAAACACTTTGAATGTAACAACTCAAGGCGGGAGTAGCCGTCAACAATGCTGATGATGGTACAGCACGCAACAACCACCCTACTGCTTTCTCTCTGAGATGATCACGTTGGTCATGACGAGAGGAGCAACGCAATAGGGGAAATGACGGCTTCGGCATGACATACTATTTTCGGCAACACAAATTGAAACACTATTTTCACTGGATTTTCTTACGAAAACACTTCGCTGAATGCATGCAAACGTTTCTTTATGCTTTCAGCTTCAATTTGACTATATTTTTACCACTGAGAAAAAGCAATATAGCAAGGTTTTCTTGAAATGCAACACACGCACTACAAATTGCAGCTGATTTCGAGTAGCCGATAATAGAACAGCAGATTTACATGCAGTTCAAATGGAACGGTTGCCGAAGAAAAACTGGTTGCCGACAATACTCGCACTCACTAGAGAAGATTGGAGCTTTGTAAAAGCGTTTCAAAACAGTTTTTGGCAATTCTTTCGACTGAAATTGTTAGAGCAGCTGGCAGCAAAAGATTGTAAACAAACCAATACTGCATATGTGTGCGTTCCTTAGAGAAAAAGGCTATAGAAAGAAGGTCGCTGCTTAGGTTGCCGAGAATACGTAAATTCCCCTAGTTGGGTAAAGAAGAATTGCATTATAACACACCATCGACTGGAAATGCTCTCGCAACGTGGGGCTTTAGGTAGTGATGAAAACGTCGCTAGAACTATTCCACAGCCGCAGTCAGTTTATGAGCAAAAGAAGGACGCACATTTTTTGCCTGTAGACTTGGAGACATACTTCGAGTCTCCGCGTACATCGTACGGG